TGACCTCAGAACCTGACATCACAGGCAATGAGCTGAAAGGAGGAGCTGACTCCTGCTCTCACCAGGGAGAGCAGCATGCTGAGGAGAAGGATGTGGGGCACTGCCCTCCCTGGCTCTGCCTGGGGCCCCAGCCTGCTCTGCTGTGTCACTGTCTTTCTCCTGGGAACAAGTGAGTCCTGAGCTCTGGGGGGACTGCTCCTGAGCTCCTCTGCTGCTGCTGCATCCATGCACTCTTTCTCTAGATGCGCACTCCTGTCTCCTGCCTCTCCAGGTTCAGCAAATCCCGGGGTCATCCAGTCTCCAAGATACATAATCAAAGCAAAGGGAGGAAAGTCCATTCTCAAATGTACTCCCATCTCTGGACATAACACTGTGTTCTGGTACCAGCAGACTCTGGGGAAGGAACTGAAGTTCCTCATTCAGCATTATGAAAAAATGGAGAGAGAGAGAAAGGAAACATTCCCAACCGATTGACTCTCAGTCCAGCAATTCCATGACTATCACTCTGAGATGAACATTAGTGCCTTGCAGCTGGAGGACTCTGCTCCAGCTCAGCACAGCTTCACACAGTGACTGGCATTTTGTTTCTTAATCTTCTTGCTTCTACTGGTGATGTGTTAAAGAGTAGTTATGAGATACCACAGAGCCTTAGCAAAGCCCCAGAAATATTTCTATATCTTTACTAATCCTCTCACTGCCCTTCTGAGTCGGTATTGCAAGATCAAAACACTGGAGTTGTCCCATGACTTTAGATGTTTTCATATCTTTATTAGTACCTTCCAGCTTCTATCCAGTGGTAGGAACCTTAGTCTCTGTTGGGCTGTGGCCATAGACAACATGTTTTAAGACAAGGGTAGAGACGTTATATCTCTTTTGTACATGAAGATTCCTATACACCACTTCAATAAAAATAGTAAGTAGCTCATGAAAATTGTCATTTGTTCATGTTTTAGAATATCAACACAAGGATTGACTCTTGTAACACTTTTACTTCTAAGTCAATGTTCTGAATTTCTTTGGTGTTTCCCAATTTCGGTCAAAAATCTGTAGCAGCTAATTATCTCTTATGTTTAAAGACTAGCTGGGGTTAGTGTGTGTGTGTGTGTCTGAACAGGGTGTGCGGCGTGTTATAGATGTATAATATTAAGCTAGATAATATGTTATGGTTGAATTTTAAAATGGGGCTTCCATGTTCAACAACAAAAAATTCATTACTCAACAACTCAATAATTAAATTAAAATGAATATAAAGAGATATTTTTGGCAGGTGCTTCTCTCCCCAATGAAATCAGAGAATTGTTCATCAGACTAATATTACTGGTATATCACACCATATTTATGAAATGAGGCATGGAGCTATGAAATTCCATGTTCCCCACTATTAACATCTAAGTCTAAAAGAGAAAGTGACTCTTCATTGGATAGACTCAACCATGGACAATGGTTCTTTTTGTTGGGGCAGCTGGTCTCTTAGAACCAGCCAAGTTTTAGACCTAGATAAAAATATCCTTTCTGGGATGGCCACGCCCCATCCCCAGATTCTTCATATGGATGCTCTGCTGATCCCCTTTGTCTCTGCTTATGCTTTCGAGACCTTCCTTACCAGGGTAGGATTAGAGAAATTCTCCATCAAGATCTGACTCTGACCAGGATGTGGTGACAGACAGTGCGCTTTTTACTTCAATATTATCTGTCAGTAGTGGAGATATGTTTTATAGGAAAGAACCTATACTGCCTTTTTTGAATGAAGTACTTACATTTCCCTAGGAACCAAAACAAACCAGACCTGCACATTATAAGACAAACAGCTCACCCACATTGCTGAAGGAGATTTTCTTTTGACAAGAATCACAGTGTGAAAAGCTTAGGTCGTCCTCTAGAGCATTTCGTGAAACAAAGGGAGATTTTTTTATTTATATCGGTGAGGACACACTGAGGGCCAAATCTAGATGTAGAGCTTTTGTTCCTGAATTGGTATGAGATCGCTCAAAACAATTTTTCAAATTGTAATGACCGGATCTTGGTGTTTTATAATCTTTCTTGGTGGCACACCGTCCTTGGAACCAGAGATGACACTGAAGAGTTATCTCAAATATTTAAGGCAAGGTAGAGAATTAGTAGAAACTTCCCAGAATACTGCATGCTGCCAGCATGCAACTGAGATGGTACAAATAGTAAATAACAAAACAATGTAAAATAAGGAATTTTATCATAGTAGAAATAAAAGAAAACTAATGTTAACTAAAAAAGAAAACATGTAAGTATAAATACAAAACAAAACTCAAATTCCTCAAATCTGAGTCGTGGATTTTAAAATATTGCTGTGTAATCCAACTATCCAATTTTACTTGAATTTGCATGCTTCTGGAGAAAAGAGGTATGACGTGTTAACTGTGCAGTTCAACATTTGCTGGAGACACTGATATCACTAAGTTCCTGAGAGCCCCAGTTCTAGTTTCCACAAACATGACTGGAAGACATCAGTTCTTGCTTGGTCCTGAAATGTCCTTCAGGCTCCTGTGTGTGACCTCGAGTCTCCTGTGTGCAAGTGAGTGTTGGACAGGCCACAGGTGTGCTGTCCTTAACAAAATTCCTTAGACTGTTTCGTTTGTTCCCCGCCCCCGACCAAGTTCTCAGAGGCTTCTCCACTGGCAGCACTCACAGTCAGGCAGTCTTAAAAATTCTCTTCAACTAAAGGTATTTTGCCTAGGTTCACTGCCTTCCAAAGGTCTGGCATCTAATGACTAGTGTATGTCTCCCTACAGCAATGTGATATGACTTCGACTTTTTCCTTTCTTTTTTCTTTTTTAATGAGATGCTTTAATGCCTCTCTCACTAGCACAGGCAATGTTTGAGATTTTGGTGGGTAAACTGGAAATGGCAACAACCTCTACCATTACCAGTACAGGTAGAGCACAAACATTGCACACTTAGTCACTAGGGGGCACTGTGGATCCACTGAGTGAGCTGCTGCAGAGCTCTAGCATGGAGCCCACAGGAGAATATATTTGCTGTGGAACCAGAAATAGTGCCGTCTCAGGAGGCACAAGGTAGGGGACAGAGGGTCAATTAGCTTTGCATACCTACTAGGCATCACCACAGGGAGCCATGGGAAATACAAAATCTCCTGAAACCAAGAGAACGACTGCCTCAGAGGTGATCATGTAAAGGACTTCTCCAAGCCAGCCATAGTTATTCAGCACAGACATTTCCCTTACACTAAACAGGCTGAGCCTAAAAGGGAAAGAAATGAGCCAACAGAGTATACCCAAGGGTACAGAGAGCCAATAGGAGCCAATGACTGACCTCAGAACCTGACATCACAGGCAATGAGCTGAAAGGAGGAGCTGACTCCTGCTCTCACCAGGGAGAGCAGCATGCTGAGGAGAAGGATGTGGGGCACTGCCCTCCCTGGCTCTGCCTGGGGCCCCAGCCTGCTCTGCTGTGTCACTGTCTTTCTCCTGGGAACAAGTGAGTCCTGAGCTCTGGGGGGACTGCTCCTGAGCTCCTCTACTGCTGCTGCACCCATGCACTCTTTCTCTAGATGCTCACTCCTGTCTCCTGCCTCCCCAGGTTCAGCAAATCCCGGGGTCGTCCAATCTCCAAGACACATAATCAAAACAAAGGGAGGAAGGTCCATTCTCAAATGTATTCCGATCTCTGGACATGACAGTGTGAGCTGGTACCAGCAATTTCAGGGGAAGGAACTGAAGTTCCTCATTCAACACTATGAAAAAATGGAGAGAGCGAAAGGAAACATCCCCAACCGATTCTCAGTCCAGCAGTTCCGTAACTATCACTCTGAGATGAACATGAGCACCTTGCAGCTGGAGGACTCTGCTGTGTACTTCTGTGCCAGCTCACCACAGCCTTACAGAGTGACTGGCTTTCTGTCCCTTAATCTTCCTGTCCTTACTGATGATGTACTACTGAGGAGTGGGGAGATGCCACACACCTTAGCCAAGGTCCAAAAATGCTTCTAGATTTTTACTAATTCTCTCACTGCCCTGCTGAACTCATACAGAGATATCTAAACACTGAAGGTCCCAATTCTCCAGATGCTCTCACATCTTTGCCTTCCAGCTCCTATAATACCTTCTAGGTCTTATCCAGTGGTAGGGACCTTACTCTCGGGTGGGGCGTCACTATAGGGAATATGTTCTAAGACAAGGATAGACATTAAACATATCCATTTTGTAGATGAAGATTTCTCTACATCACTCAATAGAAATCAAGGGTTCATGAAATTTCCAACACTTGATGTTTAAGAATATCAGCACAAGGATTGAAATTTGTATCTCTTTGCTTTCTATGCCAAAGTTCCGGCTTTCCTTGGTTTCTTCCATTTTTGGTAAAAATGTAACAGCTCACTATCTCTTCTGTTAAAACACAAGCTAGGGTTAGTGTGTGTGTGTCTCTGCGAATGGGTATTTGTGACAGGTTATGATGTATATTATTAGCTATATATTATGTATGGTCATAATTTCAAGAAGGTGTTACATTTTAAACAACAGAAAATTCACTATCCAACAATTCAGCATTCAATTTTAAAGGAATATAAAGAGATATTTATATCGCCCCAATGAAATCTGAATATTGGTCAGATGACTAACATTACAGGTAGATCAGACCTGATTTCTGAAATGAGCCTCCAAGTTATGAAATTTCAAGTTCCCTACTCTTCACATCTAAGTCTATAAAAGAAAATGACTCTTTCTTGGCACAGAAACAACCATGGACATTGGCCTCCCTTGTTGGGGCCGGTTGGTCTCTGGGAACCAGCCAAGTTTTGGACCCAGATGAGAATATCTTTTCTGGGATGGCCGCGCCCTGTTCCCGGCTTCTTCATATGCATGCCGTGTTGATCTCCTTTGTCTCTGCTTCTACTTTCAGAACCTCACTTACCAGGGTAGGATTATAGAGAGTCTCCATCAAGATCTGATCAAGATGTGTGGCCATAAAAATGAGGCTTTTACTTTGATATTATATGTGGAGGCAGTAACTGAGATATGCTTTGTGGGAAGGAACTTATACTGCCTTTGAGTGAAGGTTAGTGTTTCATGTTAGGAAACTAATGAGATGAACTTTTGAATGAAGTACCTACATTTCCCTAGAAATCAAGACAACCAGACTTGCACATTATGAGGCAAACAGCTCACCCACATTGCTGAAGGGGACTTTGTTTTGACAGGAAGCGCAGCAAGAAAAGCTTAGGTCGACCCTCCAGAGCATCTCCTGAAGAAAAGGAGATTTGTTCTAATAGTGAGGACACACTGATGGGCCAAGCTCAGAATGTAGAACTTGTGTCTCTGAATTGGTACGGGATAGTTTAAAACAATTGCTCAAATTGTAATGACCTAAACCTTGGTGTTTTATAATCTTCCTGAGTGTCACACTGTCCTTGGAGCCATAGAGGGTACTGAAGATTTATTTTCAGTATCGAAGGCAATGTAAAGAATTTGTAGAAACTTCACAGAATACATCATGTTGCCAGCATACAACTGAGACTTTACAAATAATAAATAATCAAGCAATGTAAAATATTTTTATCATAGTAGGAATAAAAGAAAACTAATACGTTAACTAAAATCAGAGAAAAAATTCATGTACATTTGAGCTGTATGCTTTTGTATATCTACTCTAAATACTTTTATGAAATTAATTTATTCTTGAAAGCTGCTCACTTCTGGAGGGAAAGGATGTGGCATGTTAACTGTGCAGTTCAAGTATTTGTTGGAGACAGTGACATCATTAAGCCACCGAGAGCCCCAGCTCTACATTTCACAAACAGGGCTGGAAGACATCAGATCTTGCTTTGGTCCTGAAATGGACTTCAGGCTCTTCTGTGTGACCTTGAGTCTCCTATGTACAAGTGAGTGCCAGATAGGACACAGGTGTGCTGTCCTTAACTGAATTCCTAGGTCTTTTAGCTAAGATGACATCATCAGGCTCTGTCTCCCTCTATTACAGAACACATGGAGGCTGCAGTCACCCAAAGCCCAAGAAGCAAAGTGACAGTAACAGGAGGAAAGGTGGAACTAAGCTGTCACCAGACGGATAACCACAACAATATGTACTGGTATCGGCAGGACCTGGGTCATGGACTGAGGCTCATCCATTACTCGTATGGTGCTGGCAGCACAGAGAAAGGAGATGTCCCTGATGGGTACGATGTCATCAGATCAAGCCAAAATGACTTCTCTCTCATTCTGGAGAAGGCTTCTCCCTCTCAGACATCTGTGTACTTCTGTGCCAGCAGTGATACACATCAGTGTGTGGCTGCCTCCCCTCTGCACAGAAAGTAGACTAGAAAGTCTAGATGCCTGTGTGCTCCAGGAAGTCAGTGCCTCTGCAAGAATCACTGAGCTCTGACAAACTAGGAACATTTCATCACTGGTCTCAGCCTCACTGAAGTCCACTCTAAAAGCTTTTCATGGCTGTTTGTCTCATCTTCACCCCTTGTTTCTCCTTTCAGAGAGGAAAATGAATCTTTCTGCTTTGGTTTGCTTTAGTTTTTTTTTTTTTTTTNTTTTTTTTTTTTTTTTTTTTTTTTTTTTTTTTTTTTTTTTTGTCACAATTTTTCTGTGTAACTGTCTTGGCTCTCCTGGAACTCACTTTAATACCAGATAGGCCAAAACCTCAAAGATGTCTCCCTGCCTCTATCCCTCCACTGCTAGGAATAAATGACTGTGCTATTAATTCTATGACCAGGTGAAAAGGAATCATTAATTGAAGTCGTCATGACCCATTTGATAAGGTCATAGCTACCATCTCCTTCCCTGTACCTTCAGTGAACTCGTCAGCCATTTTACCACTCAACTGAACCTATTGTATGGTCTCTGTCCAGGCTGTATGTCAGTAGTGAATAGCCATAAGGTCCTCTGTCATTCTCTTTGCTCATCTCTATTACCATCCTTTATTCCGCCTCCCTAGGTCTTCCTCTCCAGATAAACATGTCTGCATTCCATTCCTTCCTCATATGTACTTTGATATTTTCATCCCTAAAGATGGTCTCCTACTACATTTCTTCTACTGTCAGGAGCAACTTTTTGGGGTGACTTCTGCTGCAATCTTAGCTGCAGCAGGATCATTTGTTCTAGAATAGGTGCATGAGGATTAGACAAGCTAGATAGAAGAAACAGAGATATGAAAGAAATACAGAGACATAGTGTAGTAAGGGGAGGGCAACTCAGTGAATATTGAATGCTGAATTCTCCATGTTTGTTCATACAGTTTTATACTCCAATCCAAAAGGGAGGATGAAGGAAAAGACTGCTTTAACATGATACAAAGGACAACCAGAGCGGCCATTTAGTCTAATACTTGAGACATCAAGCCATTAATTCTAGAAAAAAAAGTATTTGATGCTTGGGGCAGTAAAAATACATTAGACCAAATGTCCTGCAGGCTGCTGCTCACTAAGTCAAACCTCCTATTTCAAAAGAAGAAGTATGCTTGAATTCTCTGGCCATTGGTCAGGGTGGAGAGGATCTACCCTATGAACCATCTTAAAGTCCAAACACCAACTAACCACAGCCTAGGTCAGTGTAGTAATAAGAGCGGCGGGGCTGCGTCCCTGGCACCCGGCCGCCCACATGCAACAGATAAGATACAAGACCCACCTCCATCATAACCACAGCCTAGGTCAGGCTGTGTAGCCGCACTTTGTTGTCAACAGCTTTAAGCAAGTAAAATAAACTCGAACTCTCTGACCATTAGACAGCATGGACAAGGCTCATATTTTTGGGCCTGCATATTCTACTTTGAGGACATACCTTTTCCTCTTGTCCTGGATCTCTTTTTCCCATGAAAGTCTACTTCAGGTTGGATTATTTTCTTTACCTTTTGAAGATGTTAATTACATTATTTCTTTCATTACTCATTCCTCTAGCTCCTCACATGATTCTCTCTTCCTTCTAGTTCTTGCCTTCTTATTCTATTACTATTATTTTTTTATGTTTTGTGTGTGTTATGAGTAAATAAATTAATTCTATTTAGTGTTACTTACATTTTTACTTTTAGGAATGTCTGCTTGTGTTTGATTAGCCATATAGGAGATTGTAGTATTTTGAGTGTAGTTTCCCCTATAAGCTCATAGGGAATTCTACTATTAGGAGGTATGGCTTTGTTGAAGTAGCATTAAATTGCCAAAAATTCTGGAGGAATTGTCATGCCATTTTTCAGGATCCATTATTCTTTTTCCATATCTTGATGAAATTACAAATGATGGTATCAGATTCTCCTGTTGCAATATGTCACTAACATGGAGCAGTGTGTAGAAAATAGAAGGAAGCTGCTCATGCCACACTGCATTTTACAGAATGGGTAGTAAAATTGAGCCAGCATTGTGTTTGGAGATTCCGTCATATAGTCACATTTATGATGTCATAACATGTCTGAGAAAATAAAGGAAGGAGTTATAATTTGGATTTTGGCTTAGTATTTCAAAGTTTTTTTGTGGATGATTAATTGGACTTTCTGTTTTGGGGCCTGTAGAGTGGCAGAACAGCATGGCTGAGCTGCCCATCTCATGACAGACAAGAACGAAGAGAAAAGAGAAGAGAAAAGGAGAGAAGAAATATCTTTAATTGCATGCCATTATTGATCTATATTCTCCTATGAAATGTTGTTTTCAAAAATTGATTTCAAAAAGCATCACTCAATGTCCATTCTAATATAAACCAGTTCATGTATTAGACATTGGTGATATCAAAACCGATCTCAAAGATCTTCCTCTGAACAAGTGTAGACAACTAAATCTTTGATATGTGAATCTTAGAAGGAATATTGCCACGGACCGGCTCAGGGGAGCCTTTCAGACCGTGGGAGAAGCAAGGTCTTGGTAACAGGAAGGCACAAGTTCGGCGAATGACAAACAGACACAACACACAAGAGAGTGGTTGGAATCTGCTGCGATTTTACTGAATTCATGTTTTCATTATATAGTATTCAAACAAAGTACAAATCAGAATGTCATGTGTCA